TTGATACAAGAACTTGTCAGTCTGTCAACAGACAGCCCCCTCTGATAGCGCGGCGGACCTTTTCCTCATACAAAATCCCCCTAATGAGAAGAGATATGTCTCTTACATATCTCTTCTCCGTAGTATAAGGTTATTATTTGATCTAATTTTATTTTATTGTATCCGTATTCTAACTCTGATGTATTTATACGATATTTAGGTTGTACGCATCGATCATGGTCTTGTGTCATTATATAAGCAGCCATGACGGACATACTGAACACCAACATTTTTTAACCAGTTTAGACATCTGACTTACATAAAGTTTGCTGACCCGTTTATGACATTTGCAGTATAGTGGCATCATCCAAGAGTCCATCACCATATTTCGTTCCTTGGTCGTCGTTCCGTTACAGCCTATTAAAGTCCAATGCTGAACAAAGGCCTCCTCCTTAGATTGTGTCATGGAGAGAGGGGGGGGGGGGACGTTTTCCATAGTTTTATTTTATTTTTAGTCGTTATTAGGAAGACGCTGCTAACAATCTCCTAATTCATCGCCTCTTATGACACCCACAGGATGATATGGGGTAGTAGATATTCTTACACCGCCACTACTGCCGTAAAAGGTGACTGACTATAAGAAATGCCAAAAAAGTCTTATGGATTTTTTTTATAGAATAGGGTAACAAACGAGCACAAAGTCCACCTGATGGTGATGGTCTTAATACGTGGTATAATGACTACTTATAAATGGCAAATGATTATCTGTATTTGCCATACTGTATCTTATGTACCTTGTACACTGTATATCTGGATCTTAGTTACGCCAGATGTAAAAGAATAGCCATATCAGTTTTTTTTATAGGATAAGGGTGACAAACAAGCACTCAGTCCACCTGATGGTAAGTGGTTGCTGCGGCCCATAGACATCTACATCTATCCTCGTTTGCGAATCAAAATGCAGATGCGTTGCCACCCGTGTTGACTAAGATGGAATGCCTCATTTCCAGTAACAAGGGCCTCCGGCCACCTGCACTCACCAAGCGAAACGCAGAGGTAAACCTCTACTTCACGCTTGTATTCTGTGAGGTCGTGGTACCACCCCGGTTCGAGCCGGCCCATCCGTGCGACAGCAAAAGCTGCTGCGTGGCTCTACCACTGTTATATATAGCCATATAACATATATATAGATATAGATAGTTATATATAGATATAGCCATATCAGTTACGAGTAGCAGTATCAAGGTTCATGCTTTTTGTTACTACGATCGTCAAATCGCCTGGTAAGCGTAATGATTGAAGCAAATCCTTCTTAAAACGAACCTTAGAGGCCCATATCCAACAGTAGAGTTCTACGGGCTGACGATAATGATGAAAGAGATTTAAAAAAAGTCCCGCTGGGTTCCTTGCTGGTTCTTCCTAGGAGTAGTTATACAAAAGAGTGACATTCAATAATTATTATTCATAATCTATATTGAATAAAAAAGTTTCTGTTTCTGTTTACTTATTTTCAAGAAGCGCTCTTCAGTGTTTACAAAAAGTTCCTTAACAAATTCTTTAAATTTAGTTGCGCAAACCCTTGCGGTCGTCCCCACTCGACAAGTCCACAGTAATATAAACGGATCACTTTATAGAAATTGATTTAGTACGTGGAACCGTCCTGTTTATTCACTTTCGTTTGATTATAACAAATATTAAATAGGAGGCATGAGAAAATTGAATTTGTCACCCAAAACGAAAAAAATGAAATGAATCTCTTATAGATTTTTTATAAATAAAATAAGGGTGACAAGGAGGCACACAGTCCAACTGATGAAAAGTGTATATTGTGGCCCATTTAAGTATTCATTATCCTCGATCAAGAATAAAACTGTACATGCAATGTCACCCCTGATAATTAAGTCATCATGAAAATGACTTGTTACCAGTTTAAATGGTATTAAGTTCTCTAAGAACCAACTCATATAAAATATAATATACCATGCAAAACACAGTATTATTTTTCTGATATTTCACACCGATATTCAGTGAGATCGTGGTAATACTCTGGTCGGGCAGACCCATTCGTGCCGCAGTACGTAAATCGCCTAACCAACTATAGTTATACTGGTTTCCTTACCTTTTAAAACTGAGAGCGTACCGCTGATTGTCAATGTTTATGATGAATAAAGTGTCTAAAAGGTGATACCTACATAGATGGAGACGAAGGCATGGTAGGTATGTATGCGATGTGATGGTGGTACCAGCACAAGACTCCCACGCTCATCACATTTCTTCCACACCATCAGATCATCATCATCATCATCATCATTACAGCCCTTCACAAGTCCACTGCTGAACATAGGCCTCCCCCAAAGAATGCCACAAAGCACGGTCCTGAGCCACCTGCATCCATCGACTTCCTGCATATCTTACCAGGTCGTCACTCCATCTAGTGGGGGGACGCCCTACACTTCGCCTGCCGGTATGAGGCTGCCACTCGAGAACCTTTCTTCCCCATCGGTTGTCGGTTCTTCGAGCTATATGGCCGGCCCATTGCCACTTCAGCTTACTAATCCGTTGGGCTATGTCGGTCACTCTGATTCTACTGCGGATATCCTCATTTCTGAGTTTATCACGCAGAGAAACTCCGAGCATAGCCCTCTCCATAGCTCGCTGAGCGACCTTGAGCTTCCTCATCCGGCCAGCAGTGAAGGACCACGTCTCAGTTCCGTATGTCATCACTGGCAACACGCACTGGGTGTACAGTCTCGTTTTCAAGTTTTGAGGTATACCTGATCATCATCACCATCAGATAATCATATATAATAACGAAGTAATAAATAAAAACAAAGAAATATAAACTTCTAAATAGGTATATATTTTTTTTATAGCATAGGGTGACAAACGAGCACACAGTCCACCCGATGTTAAGTGGATACTGTGGCCCATAGACATCTACATTTATCTTCAATTAAGAATCAAAATGCAGATGTGTTGTCACCCTGAGGACTATGATGGAATGCCTCGTTTCCAGTAAAAAGGGTCTCCGGTTCTCTACACTCACCATACGAAACATAGCAGCATTAAGCTGCTATTTTACGCTGGTATTCTGTGAGAGCGTGGTCCTTGCCCGGTCGAGCCAACCCATTCGTTTTGCAACTATACAATTTATATAGCTGCAGCATGGCTCTATCACGTGAGTTACATATTTAAATGACAAAAAATTACTTTGCGTACTTCCGCTAAATAAAATAAAATGACCTAGTTTGAAGAGCACCTCCCGCCCTCCCTCAATTGCCTGCACTATCCCCGTCACCACTAATCCCAGCACCACTACTCCCAACACCACTACTCTAGGAAAGACACACCACTGACGACGAGACTCTACGGTGGCTAACCGCTAAGTTCTTCTATATCACCTGAGGATGCCTCGTGTAGAGGCGAAACACGTGTCGTATTGTCGTCCGTGGTGTGTCTTTCCTAGTGTAGTGTTGTTGGGAGAAGTGGTGCTGAGATTAGTGGTGACGGGGATAGTGCACGAAATTGAGGGAGGGTGGGAAGTGCTCTTCAAACTAGGTAAGACACATTATTTTATTTTATTTAGCGGAAGTACGCAAAGTAATTTTTTGTCAAATTTAATGAATTATCCATCCATCCACAAGAGCCTTTAAAAGTCCACTGTTGAACATAGGCACCCCCATAGATTGTCTTATAGTTTACGGTTTTTGCTTACATTACCACGCTTCGCAGGCGGGTTGCCAACTGCAGTTTTTTATTATTATAAGTTGATATTAGGAACATGCTACTGCATTTCTCCTGTATCAGTTTCTCTCTCTATGTCTCTCTCTCTTACGACACTCACAATATGGGATAGTGGATATTCTGACACCGCTACTAAACAGTACCATAATAAAGAATATAATTTAAAATTAAAAAATTTGTACAGCCGACTTCAATATAAGTTATTAAGAATAACTCAAAAACTATTAGTCTGACCTTGATGAACGACAAGAGAGGTACCAGCTTTCAAATAAAAAAAGAATCATCCAAATCGGTTCACCCGGTAAAAAGTTATGAGGTAATACACATAAAAAAAACATACAGTCGAATTGAGGACCGTCTCCTTTTTGGAAGTCGGCAGATTAATATAATTTTTATTTCAAGCTTTAGATATTATGTACAAATTCAGCTCAATTGTAATATTTCGTATTACTTCAAGAGAACAATTATCTCAAAGAAAATCCACATTGTTTATCTTGTCAAAGTGTTTGTACGTGAATGTAAGAGGCAATTTATTTAATTGATTCTGCTAAAAGCGAAACTAAACGGCGAAAAACACCCACACAACTGGTTGGCTGCATGCAATTAGGAAATTCTTCAATATGGAAAAATGATTTGTAAATAACCTGCCGAGGCGCTTTTATCTTTTTAATATTTCATTCCATTAGATGAAATTGCGTACAAAAAGTGGCTTTTTCATATGTGTGGTGTAATTTTATATCTGAAAAATAATAACGGTAGGCATTTTCTAAATATCTCGTTCCTTTGGAAGATTAGAACGATTTCTTGCTTCATGCATATATTTTTACGTTCAATTTTCGACTTTTTGATACTCAAATAGATTGCCTTTTTAAAAAATTTCAAAAGGATTTCTTTTTATAAATATCGCAAGAGAATATGAATCACCTAAAATCAAGAAGCTTTACGATTGCAAGAATGATTGCAATACTACAATTATTAGTACTTCCTAGGTGTTATGACTACTTTTCTGTCAAGCATTGTTTAGATAGGTAACTTTTCATCTATTGATATTTTTTACGACAGTAAAGCGTCCATAAAATAGAAATAATCTCAATTCTAAGAAAGTAGTAATAAATAATAATAATAAAACATCACAAACATGCCACACCTCTTGACACCCTTCCCTACACTACCTGCAGTTCATTATTATTTCTATAATTTTATACTAAAAGTGTATAATTTTGCCAAGATTAACAAAATCATAACTCAGAATGAAAGCAGTTTTATTTAGTCTTCAGACGTCACCGTTAGACGACATACATGTTCAAAATTGTAACAAAGCTAAATTAAAACTCATAAAACTATATAACTGTGAATGAAAGCCTTCAAACAATGCATTTATATCTCTGGCAGTGGTTTAAATGTTTGCTGATATATACTCTCCTTATTTAAAACAATGCTTGCTTATTTAAAAACTAGGAAACAAAATTCTTTGTATATAATATTTATAAACTCTCACTCTTGTCACCCAGAGGGGTAGGCAGAAAATATTGACTTCCATTTGGCATAATCGTGACACACATCTTTTACATTTTTCTTACTTTACTTTTTATACGCAAAGAACGCTTTAGAAGAGATTGCTATGCAGAAGTGTGATCGCCAAACTGTACTTTTTACTTTATACTCCTCGATTAAATTGAGCTATAATATACAACATAATTATTATCTGTTACACTCTAATATTGTAGTGAATTATTTAGGAGATATCAAACATTAAATATTACGCGCAACCATAACATTACTCGCAGCCGAAATTAATTTTAATAAATGGCTTTAAAGATAAAAAAAACATATTATTCATATTTTTCTTGGTAAGCGCACTTCTTGTTTTAATTAAATTAGTAATATAAGGCTTAAATAATAAATGAATACGAAGATGAGATCAAAGATCAAATGAACTCAGTAAACTCAACGGAATTCATCTGTATTTATCTGTAAAATTACTATTGCTTTCGACGTTACACGCGGGTATATTTAGTTATTATTTCCTTAGGGTGGGAATCGAGAGTCGATTGAATAAGCGAGAAAAATCTCGCCGGATCAATTAATCATATAAACAGGAAAGTCGGAGTCATTGAAGTTATCGTTGCCTAACATTTTGTTTTTTTATAGAATAAAGGTGACAAACGAGCACACATCCTACATGATTAAGATTCAAAATACAGATGCGTTATCACTCCAGATGACTAATATAGAATGCCTTGTTTCCAGTGAAAAGGGTCTCCAGTTTACTTACCTTATAATGCTGAGGCAATATCAAGTATATGAAGTTGTTTTTGTGTGTTCACGTCGAACTAGCGGCAGAGCGCTCGGTTGACTTGCGACTTCAAGGTAAGATCAACAATTTTGAACTTGTCGCTCGACCATTCAACCCAATGAACTCGCCTCGCATGATTATCTCCTCTGCCAGTTCTCTTTCATTATAAATTTCGTGCACACCAATTCTACTTTTTGTTATCTCCCACTTTAGGTTAGAATACTTAGGCACCCTCGTATTTTGCTATAACTTGTTCATAAACATTTTTTTCTATAAATTATAATATGTTGTTGATATGGCTAGGACCGTGTAGTGGCGGTGTAAGAATATCCACTACTACATATTATACCACGGGTATCGTAAGAGGCGACAGGGGAAACAAATCAGGAGATAGGCAGCAGCGTCTTCCTAATAACGACTAAAAATTAAGGAAATGTGGTTGCCAACCCGCTTGTCAAACGTGGTAACTATGGCAAATGGAGGCCTGGATGTTCAGCATTGGACTTTAATAGGCTGTAACGGTAACGGTGGGTAGAACGAGTTTCTTTAATATGTATTATGAACTTTTAACAGTGATTCATAAATAAACAAATTCTTCATAAGATTTTTTTATAGGATAAGGGTGACAGACGAGCACACAGCCCACCTGATGGTAAGTGGCTTCTGTGGCCCATAGAGATCATCCTCGATTACGAATCAAAATACAAACGCTTTTTGATCCGTGAGGACTAAGATGGAATGCCTCGTTTCCAGTAAAAAGGGTCTCCGGTTCACTACACTAGTTTGCGTTGGTATTCTGTGAGAGCGTGGTTCTTCCCCGGTTGAGCCTACCTACTGTAACAGTAAAACAGCTGCACCATGGCTCTACCACGCAAATTTTATTATTTCATTAACGTAGATTTTATTGAATTTAAAATAAAAAATTATTAAAAAATATGTATATATTTTAATCATTATCTCCGAAATTAAGTCGTCTTCTTTGTGACATTATTCCAACCAAATTCTTCCCTTTCTTTTACCATCACGTAATTTTTGCTATTAATAACAAATAATATTCTTTTAAAGTATAGTATGAGTGATATTTTAATATCGTATCTACCGTGTAGCGACGGAGTAAGAGTATTCACTACGCCATATCGTCCCGTGGGTGTCGTAATAGGCGACAGACGGAAACAAACTAGGAGGAGGGTAGCAGCGTCTTCCTAATAACAACTAAATTTCTACGGATCACCACCAGCCTGCCAAGTTTAGTAACTATGGTATATATACTTTCTAATGAAGCAATCTATTGGTAGGCCTATGTTCAGCAGTGGACTTTTGATAAGCTATAAAAGTAACGGTGAAGTATATGATGATACTCCACCAATGAAAAGGTATTATAACAGAAAATGTACAAAGCATCTGATTGAAATATAACTATGGTTAATTCATTATCTAGAAGTGACTATAAAGTCAATGTTACAGCATCTTAAAACGACATAAAATTTCAGTTAAATGCTAAATTTCTGGAGCAAAATTTAATGTCTTTAATGTGTCCTCAAAGTTTATGTCGTTTTTATACCTAGCTTATTAAAATAAAGTACCAAGATAATTTGTTTATTGCTTGTTTTCGTTCCTTGCTGGAAACAAGTTAAATCTTTTTCGTAATCAGTTCATTAAGTTTCTTGCTGGAAAGCCATCAAATAACACATTCTTTGAATAATTTTCCCATATTCAAATAGGAACTCGCAACGAGGCAATTTATCTTACACTTTAAGTGTGACAAAGCACTTTTATCTTGATTCTACCAGTAACAGTGTTTATCACATTTAGCGCCGATTTTTCAATCGTAAGATACAATTTATTCATAGGATACAACGCAACATGAACAAATTGAAATTTACAGTTATATGATTAAAACAAATCAACTGTTTCACTTTTATTTTCAGTCGGGATATAGTGTAATCGATGATATTCAGTTCTGTTCTATTCTATTCTATTTATTTGCATTGCACTGCATTCCATTTTTTATAGGATACCAGTGACAAACAAGCACACACTCCACCTGACGGTAAGTCGTTGCTGTGACCCATAGACATCTACATCTATCTTCGATTACGAATCAAAATGCAGATGCGTTGTTACCTGTGAGGACTAAGATGGAATGCCTCTTTTCCAGTAAAAAGGGACTCTGGATCTCTACACTTACCAAACGAAACACAGCAGTGTTAAGCTGCTATTTTACGTTGGTATGCTGTGAGAGCGTGGTCCTTCTCCGGTCGAGCCGAGCCATTCGTGCTACAACTATACTACTAGCTGCAGCATGTCTCTACCACGTAAAATATAGTTTATAAGTTTACGCCACACCTGAGGATCTTTTTTTATGAAATAGGGTGACAAGCGAGCACACAGTCCATCTTATGGTAAGTAAATATTGTAGCTAATAGACATCCACGCCTATTCTCGATTCAGAATTAAAATGTCTCTTTTCCAGTAAAAAGGATCATCGGTTCTTTACACTCACCATACGAAACACAGCAGCGTTAAGCTGCTATTTTAAGCTGGTATTCTGTGAGAGCGCGTTTCTTCCCCGGTCGAGCCGACCCATGCCTGCTGCAACTACTACTAATAACTGCAGGATGGCTCTTCATTCCATTCCATTTCATTCCATTCCATTCTAACTTTCGTCTGACGTTTGAATACAGAAAAATGCTCTTGTTAGAAATTCGTCTTATATTTTTTAATTCTTACCTGATTTACAATTTTCTAAGAACATAATTTTTATGAAAAGTTATAAAACTTAATGTACAAAATTTTACGGCATTTCGGCGAGAAATTGACAGCTAGCTGTATTGCTGCTTCTGTATTATAGTTTAATTAATGATTTGAAGTGGATTTTTATACATGTATGTGTTTTAAATGTCTACGAATGTCAAATAGAAATGAAAACAATAAAATAAGTGCTCTGTTAGTGATATTAGTAGATGGTAGTATTAGTTAGATCAAGTTATTTGTCAGCTTAGGTGCCTTGAGACAATATCGACATCGTCTGAGCCCTGACTTGAGCTGTCACCAAAATGTCCCAAAAAAATCGCAATATTTCCTACAAATATATTGTAAAGAAATTTGTTAACACATTAAGATTTTATACAATCTATAAAAGAGTTTAATGTCTTCTTTTTAGCTGTAGAACTTGTTTTCAATGCCACTATATATGAAAAATATATCATCATCATTACAGCCCTTCACAAGTCCACTGCTGAACATAGGCCTCCCCCAAAGAATGCCACAAAGCACGGTCCTGAGCCACCTGCATCCATCGACTTCCTGCATATCTTACCAGGTCGTCACTCCATCTAGTGGGGGGACGCCCTACACCTCGCCTGCCGGTACGAGGCTGCCACTCGCGAACCTTTCTTCCCCATCGGTTGTCGGTTCTTCGAGCTATATGGCCGGCCCACTGCCACTTCAGCTTACTAATCCGTTGGGCTATGTCGGTCACTCTAGTTCTACTGCGGATATCCTCATTCCTAAGTTTATCACGCAGAGAAACTCCGAGCATAGCCCTCTCCATAGCTCGCTGAGCGACCTTGAGCTTCCTCATCCGGCCAGCAGTGAAGGACCACGTCTCAGTTCCGTAAGTCATCACTGGCACGCACTGGTTGTACAATTTCGTTTTAAGGTTTTGAGGTATGTCTGACGAGAAGATGTGTCGTAGCTTCCCGAACGCTGCCCAGCCGAGTTGAATCCGTCTATTGACCTCTCGGTCGAAGTTGGACTTACCTAGTCGGACTATTTGTCCCAGGTAAACATACTCGTCAACAACTTCGAGCTTAGTGCTCCCAACAACTACCGGCATAGGTGTGACATGGACATTAAACATGATCTTTGTTTTGTCCATGTTCATCTTAAGACCTATCCGTTGGGAAACACTATTGAGGTCATTGAGCATAGTGCTTAGGTCCTCCAGCGATTCTGCCATAAGGACTATATCGTCGGCAAATCGAAGGTGAGTGATGTACTCGCCATTGATGTTGATACCGTATCCTTTCCAGTCCAGAAGCTTGAAAACATCTTCCAATG